AATAAGAACAACATTTACTATTCTTATTTTATTATTATTTATTATTATTATTATTATTATTATTATTATTATTATTATTCATTATCATTTATCATTATATCCTATTATTATTATTATCATATTATTATTATTACTATTATTATTTTATTATTATTATTATTATTATTATTATATTATTATTATTATTTATTATTATTATCATTATTAATATCATTATTATCATCATTATATTTATTATCATTATCATTATTTACATTATTATTATGTATATTATTATCATCATCATTATTATTATCATTTATTATTATTATTATTATTTATTATTATTATTATTCAATTATTATTATTATTAATTTCATTATTAATATCATTATTATTATTATTATTATTATTATTATTATTATTATTATTATTATTATTATCATTATCATTATTATTATCATCATTATTATTATCAATTATTATTATTTATATTATCATTATTAGTACTATTATTATTATATGTAGTTAGTAGTAGTAGTAGTAGTAGCAATGTTGTTATCATTATTATCATATTATCATCACTCTCTTATATTTTATTTTTATCAACATTATTATCACAATCATAGTTATCATCACTATTACATCTTTTATCAGTATTGTTGTTGTTGTTATCATCAACATTATCCTTATCATTATAACTACTATCATTATCATTGTTATTATCATTATTACTATCATTATTACTATTCTTATTATTTTCATTACTTGCATCATCATCATTATAATCATTATTATTTGTGTTTGTAGTATTATATTATTGTTATCATTGTTTTATTTCTATTATGTATTGTTTATATCATCATTAATGGTTGTATAATTATAATCACTATTTTCCTAATTATTATTGAATTATCCTTATTATATCCATCATTTTATCATATTGTTATGACTGTTATCTTTATTTTTATGTCCTTATTTATTATATTATTATAGTTATTATTTACTATCTTCTTTGCTTATATTATTATATTATAGCATTATCATTATGTTGTTATTGAATTCTCATTTTTATTATTATCATTATTATTTTTAGCAGTGTAGTAGTTGTAGGAATATAGGATCAGTATTTAATGTAATCTTTATCATTATCTTTATTTTATCATTATATCATTATTATCATTTTATATTATTGTATTAATACATTATTATTAATTTAATTATTTGATTTCATTTTTAACCTATATTCCACTTATCCTATCTCAATCTCGATTATTGATGCTATTATTGTTTTGTTTTCTCTATCTGTTCTGTTTTATTTATTATCATTATTAATTATTCTTATTGTATCCTGTATCATTATTATGTTAGTTTATCTATTTATCTTTTTTATTTTATAAGTTATTTGATTGCATTTATTTTATCTCATGATTTATTATATTTCTATAATTAATATTTTTTATCATAATTATTATCCAAATTATATTGATCGTATTATTGCTACTTTATCAATACATATACATTACTCATATAGTTTATTTTAATAATCTATATACCTTTAAATTGACATTAATTGGAATTAATTAGTTGTTTTCATTATTTATATCTTATTATTTGTATCATCTATTATTATTAATTTAGTCATCATTATGATAACGAAGTCATTGCAGATTTATTATTAATTACAATTCATATTTATAGATTAAATTAAATTAATATTAATATATATTATATATTATATTATATCAAAATTCTTCTATTATCTATTAATAATTTATTCAAAAATTATCATTATCATCATTATTATTGATTGTATCAATTATTTTATTATTGTTAAACTCTATTTAATTATTAATTTAATTAATCAATTTTAAATTGTATCTTATTTAAATTTTCAATTAATTTTAGATATATTATTAGTTATTATATTGTTATTCATTATTTTATTTATTTGTATATTGGGATTAATAGTTACTTATTGAATTCTTTCGATTCACCTATTTTGATATTCTGTTGTTACTTGAATATTAATGTCTCATTGATTATCTCTCTCTTACTATAATTATTATCATATCTTTATTTTGTTGTTATCTTATATTCTCCTAGGATTTAATTTGTAATTTGCTATTTTCATTATTATCATCAATCCGCTAACTATGCTTATTGTTATTATAGTTATCACCATCATTAATATATGATAGATCATTATTATTACGTCATCATTATCCTTATTTTCAGTTATTGTTTATTATCATTTTTTATAATTGTTATTATCATTATGTTTATTAAGTATTAAATCATCATTATCGACTAATTATCAGTTATTGTTATTATCTATCATGTTATTATCATCATCCCTTTCCCCCTTCCTTTATTTGTGACTGATTCATGTATATCTGACTTTATTTTGTTATGTGTATATATGTCAGTTGACTCCATTATCAATTATTTATGACATATACTAATCTGTTACATGATTTGAATTGTTATTGGTAGATTGAGGTCCCGTCCCCGTTATTCAATGAATCCTCATTCGCTGTTAGTTCTTATCTAAGTTATCACTTGTCACTTCTTCTGATAGGATGATAATGACGACTCCGGTATAAAGATACACAAAGATGTAAAGATGCGAATTAATAGATTATAAATAACAACAAGAACAAACAACACTAGAATAATAATTTTTAAAAGAACGCAATAACAGTAATACACGATAATTGATTAATAAATGCATAAAGTAAATAGTAATAATAATAGGGTAAACAATAATAATGATGATAACAGTGATAAGCAATAATGATAATGATTTGATGATGATGATGATGATATAATAAAATTAATAATTATATAAATCATATAATAATAATAATAAATAATAACAATAATAATGATGATAATAAATAATAATTAATAATAATAATAATAATAATAATAATAATAATAATAATATATAATAAAATAATAATAATATAATAATATAATAATAATAATGATTATTTTCATTATTATTATTATAATTGCTATCGTCATTTCTATTATCATATTCATAAATGTTTATATTATTTTTGGAGTTATTCTTATCACTATTAATCATCATATTATATTTTATGTTGTTATTAATGTGATAACAGATAATGATAATAATGATAATAATAATGGTATTATCATTATTACCATTTATATCATTATGATTATCATCACCATTATCGTTATTTTCTATCATTATTGTCATACTCATTATTATCATCATTATACAACCCTTTTTATATGTCTTTACTTTTTTTATTATAATCATTTGCAATTTTATTTCATTGCTAATTATTAATATTTACTATACTCATGATAATATTATTCTTATTAATTTAACTAATCTTATTATTAATATCATGGTTTTCACATTATCATTATTATCATTATTATGTATTTATTATTATTGTATTATTATTAATTATTGTCATTATACATATTTAGATTTTATCTATGTGTAATTACTATCATCAACATTTAGCATTTTTATTATTCAACTACATATATCACATTATTATTATCATATCATTATCATGATTTATTAATCATTATCATTTGTTACTGATTGTCATTGTTATCATTATCAGTTTATTATTATTATTATTATTATATTATTATTATTATTATTATTATATTATCATATTATTGTTGTTGTTGTTTACTGTTATTCTTGCTATTATTTGCTATCAATTATTATTGTTGTCATATTATATCAATCTCATTACTTTGATAATCATGCATGATTAATTATTATTATATACTACTACATTTGTTGATATCATTATCAGCATTATTTATCATTATTTGTGGTTTAATTTTTTTTTGTCGTTTTTGTCATGGTTTCTTTGATCTATAATGTGGATCTTCGTTGCCTTTTGCATCAATGAAACATTCTATTTCACCATTGATTAGCATTGTTATCATCATCACCATTATTATTATTATCATTATCACTGTTATTGATGTCGTCATTATTAAATTGGTTATTGTTATAAATTATAATGGGTGGAAAAGAAGAGGAAGGCGCATTCAGAACCTTTTTTATTACAAAAAAGATTGAGGAGAAACATTGAATTATCAGCTGTCCTTTAGATGACATAGAAATAAAACAAAAGGAATCACTACACAGCATTATTGCAAAGAATAGAATGAGAATGGAACATGTAAAAAGATGGATTGTGGTGATGATTTTACAGAGTAAGTGAACGTGATGATAGGTTAGCACCAAATAAATACATCCTATGCTGAGTCAATGAATAAAAGTCGAGAAAGTGGCATGATGACAGCAGAAGCAAAAGAAAAGAAAAAATGATCAGGAGATGGATATTATTATAAATATGACTAAATGTTTACATCAGTTAGGTAGCAGACATGAGAGAAAACAAAAACAAAAACAAACCTAGTTTCACGAGACCTCTTCAGAAAGAACAACATACACATAAACCATGGCCTTTTTCGGGAGCTTCCAGCGTCGAGGCAGGGTCCCGTCCTCGAGCCAAGTTACTTCAGCAGACACAAAAACTCTTCTCGCGTCTTGAGATTGTTCCTGAACTCTCCGAGCATCATGGACGTGGTGGTCGTGGCGTTGATCTCTGACGCCGCGCATCACCATGCACATGTGTGGCTGAGGAGGCGGGAGGGGGTTAGGCAGCGCCGTGGGAATTGGCCTGCTACGGGCCCGCGGGTCGAGGTACCTTCGTTGGCTTCATTTGGGTTGCATTGCACAACAATACTCTTGCTACTGCTCTTTTTGTGGTTATTATCATCATTATGAAGATTATCAACATTTTCATTATCATTACTGTTATCACTGTCATTATCTAATTACTGATATCATCATTATCATAATTGCTGCTATCAGTATTACAATTATCATTATCATCATCATAATCAACATCCTCTTCACCCACAGCAGCACTGAAACAATCAGCTTCATGTCAGTATTAATCTTTCCTCCCTCGACACAGCCCACCAACCTGTCCCGCTGTGAATACTCACGTTCCTTCCACCACAACAGCGACTCCCGCGGGCTGAACGGCCTCCACGACGGCTTCCGCGATCTGCTTGGTCAGCCTCTCTTGGACTGCGGGTTGCGAAGGAAATCGGTAAGGGGAATATTCGTCTGGTAATCTCTGGTCTAATATGTCTGTTAGTCTGCTTGCCTGTCCAAGTAGCTGTCTGTTTATTAATCTATATATTTGTATATATGTATGCATATACCCCATCAATCTATCTATCTATCATGTATAAGTAAGTGCACATATACATGCACTCAATTGGTTGTTTGTTTAGGCGAGTATACATAAGCAGCCATAGAAGCAAAACATCTCACCTTGCAATCTACGGCTGAAGACTTCGACAATTCTGAAACGAGAGAGAGAAAAAAATATAAAATTTCTGTGAATTAGCTGATTAGGTGATTAGATAATTTCTCACCATCTTTTCATTATATCAACAGTGTACTGTCTCTACACATCGCTGGAAGGTTAATGAATCTCGGTTACATCTTTCTTCATCATTCTTACAAAGAATTCTATTAAATGAAGGTGCAGATCATTTCTGGTGTAATTTCTACTGCGTTTTGTTATAATATAGTGTATGCTACATAAAACTGAATTAAAAAATATTTAAAGATTATCGTGTTAACGATAAGTTGATGCATTTTCGAATGTAGAGGGAAGTGAAATACTATGTGCAGCCACCGTAGGTTATTCGCATGACATGCAGTTCGTAATATCCATTTGCGGTTTGAAATCCGTGTTCCGCACTATTGTAGTTTTTCATACTGCATAGTTTCAATGAAAAAGGCCCACCATGTAGACAACAAGATTACTTCGCCAGCTCACCTGGCTATCTTGGAGAGTCCCATGACCTTCTTGTTGGGCAGGTAACCGACCGACACCTTGCCCCAGAAGGGAACCAGGTGGTGCTCGCACGTGGAGAACATCTCGATGTCCTTCACGATGACCATGTCCTCCGTGTCCTCCTCGAACACGGCGTCGTTCATCACGTCTGAGGGAGAAGGAGAGTCAGACGGGCAGGGAAGCGGCGAAGGAGGTGAAGGGGAAGCCGGGTGATGGGGTGGAAGGAAAGAGGTAGAGGGACAGAAAGAGAGAGGAGGGCGAAGGAAGGGGGAAGATGGAGAGGAAGAGAAATGAAGAAGACGGAAAGGGGATGGAGAGGAAGAGAGAGGAGGAAGAAGGAAGGGGGAAGAAGGAGAGGAAGAGAGAGGAGGAAGAAGAAAGGGGAAAGAAGGAGAGGAAAAGAGAGGAGGAAGAAGGAAGGGTGAGATGGAAAGGAAGGCAGAGGAGGGAGAAGGAAAGGGGAAGAGGAAAAAAGACACCTCTCCCTACCTGGAGAAGGTAGGGAGAGGTGAAGGAGGAAGAGAGAGAAGAAAGAAAAAGGGGAGGAGTGGGAAAGCGCAAGAGCGAGGAATGAGGAGAAAAGCGGTAAAGAAAGGCACTGAGGTGGGCTGGGTAGCTAAGTAGGAAGACTAAGATAAACATGGAGTAGAATAGTTTGGGTGAGGGCGGTGGCACCACCTGTAGAAGAAAAGAAATAAAAGAGATGCAGTGATACAAAGCAGTTGAAGTCAGAGGAGGATACTACGGAAGAAAGATATAGGAATAACTCTTGAAGCAGTTCTGCGTCAGGTATCCTTTTGGGGACAGAAGAGCTGGCCATTGGCGTGCCTACCCTTTCGGGGCGTCGCAGGGAGCCGCTCTCACGGACTACGGTACCTCCGCCGAGCTACTTGGTACAGGAGTAGGAGGTAACAAATGGAGTCACAGACATGTGGGACATAATTTACTCGATAGCGCGGTACGTCTTTGCGAGGTGAGTCAATAGGAAAGATTAAAAGGGCGCCTTGGTTATTAGTACGCATTAATTACGAAACTGATGTCTATTTCGCAAGTAATAATGTGTGTGCGAAGGTATAGTTTAATAATATGTAACAAAAATAAGTATAAAATGTAAATAAAAAAATATAAATAATAATAACTAAAGCGACTTTCAAGTCTCGAAAAAGCTTTTCAGTTTGAGTGACAAGTGAACATAAAGCCATTGTCAAGAAGAAACGAAGACGTCTTTTAAGACGAACTGAGGAGCAAGTATAACCTTTATTACTATTCTATTCGCTCATAGTGGTATAAAACCTTAGTAACGTCGTCAGAATCAAGTGTGACGTCACCGTGCCCGAGGCACTAGCACTTCATCTGACGACTCAGCGTACGCACTCTTACCGACATTGTCCACCAGTCCATGTCATCGAGCAAGCACGTCTATTTCTTGATCACTCTCTGAAATCGTCCCTACTCGTGTCATGTGGCTCGAATACCCGTATGGTGATGACTGGCTGAGTCGTATTCACGTTGCTGGTTGCGGCGGCCGCCTCTACGCAGACGGGGGCCATCGAGACCGTTCAGTTAGAGAGATGCTTGAGATGCCGTTTCAAGTAGAGGAGAGGTCGCCGAGCTCATTCAATAATGTAAATATTACTAGTGAGCTCTGTCGTCTCCAGATAGGGTGTGAGTAGCTAGTGAGGTAAAGCTGGTGTATAGATGATAGTCAGTCGTGCGTGGTTGTGTGTATTGGTCAGAGTAAGTGAAGAGAAGAGATAATAGAAATGAGCAGTAACAGTTAAGGTAGATTTGGATGAGTGGATATTGTTGCGCTTCACAGTTGTTTAGTGTCGTCCGTAGATCGTGTGTGTGGTCTGTAGTTATAATCGTGTCTGTGTGTTTCGCCATTGTTGTGTCCTTTCTGCGTGGGTATGTTCCGCCAGGCATGTTAGTGCGAAAATATACAAATTATTAACTGATAGAAGAAATTACCCCAGGAGTAGTATATTCACATATGCAGTATTGAAATGTCTACTTTTGACGCGGGTGTGTATGATCAAAATCTAGATATTTGAACCTAATTTAAATAATTTCCTGGGAGATGGATAGAATGAATAAAGTTTTGAACAGTCAAGACAGCATTTTCGATGCCTCGCCATTGAGGACATGGAAAAATGATGTGGAATGAAAAGGCATAATATTCTCTTACTGTACAAATAAATTCTGGTTATTATGTCGCAGAATATAATACTGGCTTCCTTTCCATTTGAGTTCAAAATGACTTAGTTTTGTTAGCGTCTATGAACTTTGAAACACTTTGAAACATCTTTTTCAGCGGCAAGGAAAAAATATTCATCCAGTGAAGTTAAAGAACGAAAAATTAAACATAACGAAATAAACCAATAATACTAGAAGAGTATAGCAACTTAGAATAGGAAGCAAAAACGAACTGACTGTAAAACGTGACCTGAGGTAAACGAAAGAAGCGCAGGTGATAAGAACAAATCGAACTTCAACAAAAAACGAACTGATACATAAGTGAACAAAGCCAGAATAAACCAGATTATACATATTTTTTTCATATCGGTAAAAATAAGTAACATCTAAATAAGTAAAAAAAAAAAAAAACACACAGACAAAGGTGAATAACCATGTCGCGAAGACGAGGAGCCACCATCAGTAGAAATAAGTCCGACATTCCCCCGCTTACCTGAGCAAGTCTGCGCGTGGAGGTACCAGCTGGAGTGCGTCCTGCTGCCTGTCGCGCCTCCTTAAATACCTCTCTGCAGGCCAGCCATGAGTGGCATTTCTCGTATCAGTTTCTTTTTGTCAATCCAGTGGACGATGCGCCTCGTGACGCCTGGGGTATTAGGGGATCTTCGGCGCGGACTCTCTGTCTGTCTGTCTGTGTGTGCGTGGTCTTGTCTCTGTGTGTCTGTCTGTTTGCCTCTATGTCTCTTCTTCTTTTTTGCTCTCTCTCTCTTTCTTTCTCTCTTTTTCTTTCTTTCCTTTCTCTTTGTGTCTGTCTGTCTGTCTGTTCTGTCTCTGCTCTCATCTCCTCTTCTCCTCTTCTCTTTCTCTATCTCGTCTCTCTCAATCTCTCTCTCTTTCTTAATATATCTAATATATATATATATATATAATATATAATATAATATATATATAATAATATAATATTAGTATTATATATATATAAATATATAGCCGGTCTCTCTCCTCCTCTCCTCTGACTGCTCATTCACTGTAAGATAACGATAAATGTTTCCTGTGAGACAATTTTAAAACAGCATCAGCTGGGATATCAGATATGGTTTGTGGAGGAAAGCAGAGAGAGAGAGAGAGAGAGGAGAGAGAGAGAGAGAGAGAGAGAGAGATACTATAAGTATTATGATTTAAGTATCTATATATAAATATATTATAATAGATAATATATTATAGAATATATATAATTGATTTATTATATGATATGAAATAGGTAGCCAAAATGGAAATGTGGCTAGTTTCATTTTCATTTTTGTGCTCACGTGATTGTGTTTGTGCTTGTTTGTTATAGTAAATCGTATATATATATATATATATAATATATATTATATAATATATATATATAATATATATATATATATATATATATATATAAACTATATATATATATATATATATATATAGTATAATATATATATTATATATATATATATATAGAGAGAGAGAGAGAGAGAGAGAGAGAGAGAGAGAGAGAGAGGAGGGAGAAAAAATGAGACAGCGAAAAGAGGAAGAAGAAAAGAGAGAATGAAGAAAGAAGGAGAGAGAGAGACGAGAGAGAGAGAAAGGAGAGAGGGAGAGAGAGAGAAGAGAGAGAGAGAGAGAGAGAGAGAGAGAGAGAGAGAGAGAGAGAGAGAAGAGAGAGAGAGAGAAGGAGGAGGAGGGAGAGAGAGAGAGAGAAGAGAGAGAAGAAAGAGAGATGAAGAGAGAGGAGAGAGAGAGACGAGAGAGAGAGGAGAGGAGAGAGAGAGAGAAGAGAGAGAGAAGAAAGAGCAAAAGAAAGAGAGAGAGGAGAGTGAAAGAGAGAGAGAAGAGAGGAGAGGAAGAAGAGAGAGAGAGAGAGAGAGAGGAGAGAAGAGAGAGAGAAGAGAGAGAGGAAGAGAGAGAGAGGT